ATAGAAACATTTTGAATAGTATGGTCTTCACAGGATGCCTTCAGCATGGGTGAAAGGAAAGAAAGAAAAACTGGTCACCGAAGACATCCTACGATTGAAGAATGGACTAACTAAAACTTTTGAGACCTGCTGTTTTCAAAGATGTTCAGAAGGATCGCTGCTGGATGGAACAGGAATGTGGCCAACATTTTTGGTCACGTTAACGTGTGAACATAAAGTAGCACGTTAGCGTGCTTTATAAGGAAAAATGAAATATAGTCAACAGGCTATAGAAACGTTGCATTATGTGCCCAAGCGCGCTCTATGGCATATTTCTCGACCATTCCTGCTGAAGGTGAAGTGTATGTTTCGGTACTCTTCATGTGTTCCATAATTTTGGGCACTAATGCAAAAGCAGGGCTATGCCAGTTTCAGAAAAAGAAACAACACGTAAATATGATCATGGTGAAGCTTCTAGTAAATGTGGATGACTTTAAAGCATTTTTCTTTCAGAACATTTCCAGCTCCTACCACATTACATGTTGTTAAAGAGGTTGTTCCACATTTGAATATATTGAAGCAAGTATCAGATATGATAAAACAAGCTCGCTATAAGCATTCGTATACTTTTGAATGGAAAGGGCTGCTCTAGACAATACTAATCTTTCTATTTAGTAAATACGCTTCCCAGCACGTCGTGGTTTGATGACGTCATCGCACCTTGCACAAATATTGGCTGAGAGCCAACTGACGGTCGTTTAACTGGAAAGCGTGCTCACGAAAGTCAGATATGAACAAATCCAAAATCATTTTTTATTGGCCTCGATTGCCGCATGGCTAACGGAATGGCAGGACTAGAATGGCATCATGGATACCTGGGTGACCTTGGAATAGTCTCCCAAGTATCTTCGCACATCTTCGCGAGCATTTAGCTCAGAAACTAGAAGGGTTTAGGTCTTAAAAAGGTCAGGACTGTGAAATGCATAAATAATTTTCAGGATGAGTATTTCCGTTCAAAACACATGCAAATGGTGAGCATTCTCATTATGCAATATTCCCGAGCCCATGAGTCTGTAACTTATATAACTACCCAGCACGTTACGCACTTGCGGTGCCCGGAAAGCAGGGAACGGTGCCAACAACTGGCATCGATACTGGCAAATCAGTGTCACGGTCGGTTGTATTTGAAGCAACTGGCGAACCGAAACCTGAGCTCTCCTTTCTTAGCATTAACGCGGTGGGATAGAATAAGTCTGCAAGTTATGCAGATATTTTGATTTTGCCAAAGGCAAAATAGCTCATGTGGCAATAGCTCGGTTGTTTAGTACAGGGCATATTTTAACAGCACGTCACAGAGTGAGGGATTTGGGCTAGTGGAATTCCGGGTAACATAAAACGAAATCTGCACATTTTGCCGGTCTTGCGTTATGCTCACCGTTGCACCGCTTTCAATTTTTTTTCAAATTTAGAGCCAGACGACCTTTATTAAAACTAATTTGCGTTTTAGACTCCGGAGTGCATGATAGGGCTAGCTGCAAATAGACGCCCACGACGTTTTTGTACAGGTCCCTTGTTCAAATGAGACTATGATAAAAAGTCATCTAAAAAACGTGCGCCTGACTGTGTGTCTGTCTGTCTCCTTGTCTCCATGTCACTTCATGCCCTTGTGCAGGTTAACCAGTGGGCAGTACAAGCCTGACACTGACAGCACACATGCACGCAAGTGAAGAGCACACATGCGTGTTGATAACTCGGTCTGGGGATTGATACGCATCTTGTGCTGGTGAAAAGGCCTGTTCTTAGGCTGTAGTGTTAACATTAATCATATGCATGGTGAAAAAGTTAAACGGTAGTCAAGTAGTTCGAAAACATATTCTCTTTGTTGCGCGAGCAGCGACGAATCTTGGAATCTCCACATTTTCAAAATGAAGTCGATTCGCGCAAATACATCAGCATACGTCATCAAGGAGGATCGCGGATCGAGGACGATCGTGGGCAACGCATTTGCAAATATTCAGCGACACTTGACGCTGTCGGAGATCTCGCGGTAGTGAGAATTCGACAATATGTGAATTGTAGATCAGACTGGAGCCGTGCAGTATCGAGCCTTGCGGCAGTGCTAAGATAGTAAGAAACGCAATGACGGAGGTAAACACAACATGACTGGCTCGAGATTTCAAGCACGCAAAGTACAACAACGCAGGTAGAGACAACATGACTGGCTCGGAATCTCCAGCACGCTTAACAAAATGTGGCGATAGCCAACCGATAACGGAGCATAGGCCTTCGCTTGACCTTAGCACGGCTGCATTTGAACGCCATGTTATAACAGGTCTGGCTCGCTTTTTTAACAAGGCATTCCAGTGCCCTTAGTCCGCACCGCATGGCTTTGAAAGTGCTTCAAAGGCGGTCACGCGTCCTCAGCAAGTATGGAGCTAACGTCTTTGTTTTTGTCGCGGCGAACTCGGCGACGAGAGCATGATTCGGTGATTTACTGTTAGAGGCGGGTGTCAGTTACTGTGCAAAGAGACAGTCGTGTCGCGCGTGGAAGTCACGGTAGCGCTTGTCTCCTTCTACCTGATGTATGGCATGCATAAATATGTATGTGAATAAGCGTTTAAAGTTCCATATTCCATTCCAATTTCATTTCAGGTGTCCAGTTGAAGATAGGACCGGGAATATGCGGTGTTACTACAACATTAAAAGATAAATTTTGCACACAGCGGCACATTGAACTAGGCTCTCTGAATACATTTGACTTGTGCCCCTTCCCTTTAAGGACGCTTAGATGAAGCCGCACGTTTGGAGCCACGGCAAAAATTGGGATGGCACGACGGCCTGGCCGTATGCCACCGATACACATGTGTGCGAGGGGACTTACGGCAATAGCTTAGGTGCATGTGGGTGCTCAGAACAAAAACAATTGCAAGGTTGCCCATGCTTAATAATGATAGGTAAGCAGAGACTTGCATGCACGATGCTTTGTACAAACCGCAATTTGAAGTTTGCTCGACAGTGCGCCATACACGACAGCGAAGGGGAATAAAGCACGGGCGGTAAAAACGAAAGAAGGAAACACATGGGAAGCTGCCCTCATTACCATCTCCGCCCCTGGAAAAGCCGCAGCGATAGGAGGTGAGAGAGTGCCGTAAGAGCAGTCATCTACATCCTAGATCTACAAAATCTAGGGTTAGCATTATGACGTTGCATTAAAGAACAGAGGAACACATCGATCGTCATGAGAAGCAGACAGGCTCCAGGCCAACAGACCCCAACAGGCAAGGTAAAATGAGAGATTGCACTTGCACTAGATGTCGCTTCCACGACGTCACGTTTGTCGAGAGCACACCTGTACAGATTGCGTTTACCCGCCTGAGCCAGTTAGGATGGAATCCGGCGGAACAGTCACAAGCACCAATAATATCTTTTGGTAATATCCTCGCCGAAATTTCGGCACGCATCGATGTCGATCAAACTCCAGCTGAAATACCTAGACGCATCAAAATGCTACTGAGATCATGCGGCGTCATTTTATGGTGTGGAATACATTTGGACATGTCCTATCTGGCCTGTCTGGCTTTTTTGAAGCGGCATATCGCTCACGTTTGCTTATCTTCTTTTCTTACGTAAGAACAATTGTGTCATTTTAGAGTGTTTGGCACCATGCAGAATGCATGAATCCACGGCGACTCCGATCTCTGCCGGAACCGTCTCAGAGGCGTTGGTGTCGGGTGCGAGCTGCCGGAGCATCAAGGTTTTACTGGGGGGGATTAGGATGCTTTCCGGCTGTCTTGAGGGAGATCTGGCGACCATTGGTGAGGATTTTCCCCCAGTTGGCATGTTCATATGAGTCCTGGCGCGAAAAGTTTGGAGTGAAGGGGTGACTATCAAACTCCGATTTTTCGCCCTTTTTGGGAGTTCGCATTTCCCGAATTTACCGAAACATACTCTTCACTGCTGGACAGAACATACATTACCGTGGACCTTATAAGGAATACCCAAATGCGCCACAAATTATACTACAGAACGTTTGTGGTGTTCAATTTGTGTCATGCAATGCGTATTCAAGTATTTCTTATCGTGCACAAAGTGGATGCACGTTCTGCCTTTTCGCGAAAGGCATGCTTTAGTCAGTTCGAGGAGCCAAAGTGTGTAGATAATCAATTTCACACTTGCAGCTTATTACATGTTTCATGGATCCAATGTTTCGTTGCTAGTTACCTGACGAAGAATTACCATCCGAAATATAGTGGCATTGTTTTGGCATGCTTAGCAATCTAGACATCATAGGTATGAGACTGATGTCAAAGTGCTCTGCCTATAACCAAGCACAAATCGCCTCATATTAGGGTCGGTAACTTGCTCAACAACAAAAAAACGTTTCATATGCCCAACAGTTCAGCCCGCATATTTCTTGAAGTGGGGTTTTAGGTTGATGGCGCCGTATATCATACTGAAATTGTTAAAACATGTATTACAACACGCTGTTCGAAAAGAATGCAACGCATGTTCAATCAAAGTGAAATGGAATGGAGCAAAAGGGATTTGAAAAGTAGATTATATGTATGCGTCGAGCTTGTGGTCAATCATTTGGGCTATGGCAAGCTTATAAGTACACATTGCTAACAAGCCGAGGTTTTCCACGAAAACCAAGCATAGCTGTGTTCTGCCGGGCGGTATTTGCTTGTCTATGTTCATACTTTTCGAAGAACACAGGCTTATACCGCATACTGTCTGATCGAACCAGCACAACAACATTCAGCTATATTTACATATCGTACTCCACGAATATTGACGACGTTCGCACGTCACAGAACAATCCGCCGTCCGTCCACAGGCGCACACGCGCGCGCGAGGGGGCAGTCACACTGCCACAGACCACAGAGTCGCGGCCAGCCTAGGGCCGGCTGCCTGCCTGCCGCTGCCGCCTTATCACAGCGCTGCCAGATCGGCCGCCGCCAGCCGACCGGCGGCCGCATCACAGCGCCGCGCCGCCGCCAGCGCCCGCAGCGCCCCTGGCGGTCACCGGCAAAAGTGTAACGTCTCCAGGACCGTGCACTGGTCGCAGAGCACCTCGCAGCACCACTTGAAGCGGCAGTTGCAGTTCTGCGTGACGTTCAACTGGCGCGTGTTGTAGCCGCGGCCGCAGCACAGCTCGCGGCAGTTGCCGGAGGCGCGGTGGCAGCGGCGGCCGCGCGTGCCCAGGCTGCCCTGCGGCTTGCTCGGCAAGCAGAAGTCGGGGCTGCGCTCGGCGTAGATGAGCGTGCCGTTGCTGGGTGCCGGGTCACCGTCGAGGGCGGGCATGAAGCTCTTGCCGTCGTTGCCGGGGATGACGCGCGCAGCCTTGTCGTAGCTGATTGCCAGGCGGTCGCCGACGTCGCGGAACAGCGGCATCTTGCGCCAGCATGTGCGCAGCGTGCACGAGCCGGAGAGGCCGTGGCACTTGCAGATGATGCGCCGATGAAGCCGCACCGCCTGCGGGCAGAGCGGGGTCAGAGGTCCGCGTGCTTGGTCCGCCCGGCGCGATCAGCGCACGGGACCCCGTTCAGGTGTTGGTCGGTGGACGACAGAGACGCAAACGAAGAACACAGCAAGACTTGGTGGAGCTGTTTCAGATCAGTCGTCGCTCTCAATACTCGGCCACTGAAATCACAATGCACAGTACGACGCAGCTGCAATTATAAGCAAACACCTTGACAAGAAAGCTCACTCAGCTCGCGAGCACCGTTTTTTTGTGCTCTGTTCGAAGTGTTTTCATGCGCAGCGCCACAAACCACCTTCTCTAATTTCGCGGCACTTATCGTTGGCCGCCAATGCTGCATTGGCCGTCACATAACTCATGCCACCGGCGCGCCCTTACCAGCCGCCCGACTTCGTTGTTGTGCAGCATGATGAGCGTCTTCACATCGGCACGACGTCTGAAGAGGGCCTCCATGAACTGCTTGGCCTTCTTGTAGCCGTAGTGCACGTTGTCGCCGCAGCCGCCCCACGTCCAGTCCTGGTGCACCGACGGTGAGCGGACGGTGGTCGGCACCTCTGAAATCAGCGATTCCCCGGTCAAGCGCTCCATCCTGTGCATTTAACTGGCTATGCAGGCATCGAGCCTGCCGTTCCTTTGATCGTACGTTTAGCCAGACGGCGCTAAGCCATTCGTCATGCGTCTTCTTGTGAGTTGTATATTTATTATCTGTCTTGCTTGCAGGTGTTTTACTCCCCTCAATGACTCAGTCAGCATATCAGCAAATCAGTCATGCAGTCAGTCAATCACACCCTGATTTAGGTCTTGATTAGAGGCATTAATGACGCGCCTAACAGGTGTCGAGCGACGCTCGTGGTTGGCTGTCGATATTTGCACGGATTAGAGGTGTTAAAGATCTGAGGAGTGATGACAGCTGTCAGTGGACAGCTGAAAACAAGACGAAACAATCCGGTGGCTTGCTGGAACAACTATTCTCATCAGAGCTACACGTCGGGGGACGGATAACAGCTTGTTATGACACTGGGTTACAGGTTAATTACCATTCGTGACACGACAAATTACACCGATCAAGAAAGCTGCGTTCAGGTTACATCATAGGCGTTTTTAGATATCATGGCGAGCAACCATAACGAAGATATTTGCGCAAAGGTTATTCTTGCGTTGAAAGCTGATGTACATCTACTGATACAGCTAATTTGCCAGCTGGTAGCGAGCAACATGTTCCTAAGTTGTCCTTCGTGATGCTCCGTAACGTAGCTTGTTTTTGATCCTTCAGTGACCTTTCTCGCATGTAACGGCATCGGCCATAAATGCCACGATCTCATTCAGCGATTGCAATGAGGAAAATGATGCACAGGGAGAGCGGGTCGCCCTGCGCCCCCCGCCCTCTCTCTCTCTCTCTCTCCCTCTCTCTCTCTCTCTCTCTCTCTCTCTCTCTCTCTCTCTCTCTCTCTCTCTCTCTCTCTCTCTCTCTCTCTCTCTCTCACCGCAGGCACAGCCCAGCATCTGTCCCCGGGAGCAGCCGGCCGTGATGGCGTGCACCAGGCCCGCGGACGTGATGGCGTTCACGTATCCCGTCTCCTTCAGGTCTGCAACGGCGCCAGCGGTCAGGGCGGAGGAGGGACACTCAGCTGGATCCGGTCTACGACACGGAGGAGTGACACTCAGTTGGGTGTCACACAATACGGATGAGGGCACTCAGCTGGGTCCGGTCATGCGACACGGAGGAGTGACATTCAGCTGGGTCCGGTCATGCGACATGGAAGAGTGACACTCAGCTGGGTCCGGTCATGCGACACGGAGGAGAGACACTCAGCTGGATCCGGTCTACGACACGGAAGAGTGACACTCAGCTGGGTCCGGTCAAACAACGTGGATGGGGGCACTCAGCTGGGTCCGGTCATACGACACGGAGGAATAACACTCAGCTGGGTCCGGTCGTATAACACGGACCACACATCTGGATACGGTCATACAACGCGGAATGCCAGATATGCGACAAACAGTCGGCAGCAAGCACAAGGCGGGAGGCGTGAGTGCAATATCGCGCGTCGTGCGGAATAATGGTAGTGTACAATATTTGCTTTCAGTCACTGGTCTTGTAAATGATTCAGCTATTGAATGGCTAGAGATACACCCCACTCATGGTCTGGACTTGCAGACACTTCATTTGAAACTTCCTTTCCTCCAAAAACACCTCTTGCAAGAAAATGCTATCGGTGAAAAAATTTGAGCCAAAGAGGAAATGGGAGTCACTATGCACGGTCAATGGGTGGTACCTGCGACAGGTCTAAATACACAGACATCAGGGGACTAGACAATAAACAAATATTCACTCAACAACTAGTCTGTCCGTGAAGTCGGCAGATACAGGCGTCGTGGCAGGTAACGTAAACATAAATTTGTCCTTTATACGCGTCATTTGCAGTGCCAACCTTTCAAAATTGAGCAGTGCCCTAGCTTTTCACTGCGTACACAAATCAATGTGGCCCGTCCATTAGCGTCATGCACCTTGGTTTGATACCTCCATGGCGGTGTCTTCTGCACTGACCGTTTACGTAGCATAAACCATTTCGGAGCTAAGAGATCAAGGTCATAGATAGACATTGGGAGAAATGCCGAGGCAGCACTACGTTTCGCCCGAATCCTCACCTCAAGTGTCGCATGGCAGGGGGTTAGGCATGCGTACCTGTATATGCGGATGTTTGAACCGGTCTGGCAGCTTGGTGGGCCAGGATGGGGAAACAGGTTGGGAAGGCAGGTTGGTGAGACCGGTGGGGGAGACAGGCTGGGGAACCAGGATGGGAAGGCAGGCTGGGGAACCAGGTCGGGCAAGCAGGTTGAGGAGACCGCTACTGTCGATCTCCAGGCGGGCGAACCAGTTGTAAGTGTAGCATGAAAAGGCGCAGTAGGAGGATGCAGGGTACAGCTTGAACATGCATACTAAGGTGGATTGTGTCGTGCGCTGCAATCGTCCCCCACCTTTCAGAAGGATCCTCCTCAGACTGCGCCTGTTCGTGCTGCAATTCCAACGTCTGCTCTGGAACTGGAACTGGCACTCTTTGGTTGCCATGGCGACGCCCTTGTGGACCTCCTTGACCACCTCGAGCTGCCGGCGACAGATGCGCGACCTGCGATCTCGGAGACGCCTCAGCCGGCGGCACACCTTGTTGGGGTCCATCAACAGTGGTGATCCAATTGCCCTGGAAAAAGGAACCTGCGTCAGACTTCCGTAAGTTTTCTGGGACGACGAAGCGCAAGCGTAGTACGCTGGGTTATCTTGCATTGAATGACAAGTTTAGAAAAATGCCGAGCAGTAAGATGTCGTTACATGATAGGCTCTGACGCTTTACTTTTAGATACCTGCACCTGGAACGAAACTTTCAGAAAAATTGTTGGGAGTGTAAGCGTCATTGTTGAGTTTATTCGACCTATACAACGCCATAGGCGCAGTGATAACTTTCTGAGATATTAGGAATGGAGTTAAATCCACACGTAACAGTAACGTTACACCCGGTACACTCATGCTTTCGTTTACTATGCGGCTGTTTCTACTGCACTGATGAAATCAACGATAAGACTGGCGCATATAACATCACTTCAGCATCTCTGCATTCAGTATAGTGGTTGTGTCGCCATCATATTAGTGGCAACTACAGGCGCTTCGAGTTCGCCTTGATGGATCGACGGTGAAGCCTGATCAAAAGCTCAGCTGTCAATCACGGCGGTCAAGCTTGGCTTTCGCCTCCGCTCACTAGATGGCAATAACTGCCAGACCCGAGAGATTCTATTGAGTGGTTCGTCAGGTGCGACTTATAGCTCTTCGTCGCAGGTTAGGCCGAGCGTGCCAGGCACATGTCGAATGTCTGATCTACGAAGCTTAAAGGATCAATGGTGTTTAACGGCACGGAATCGGTGGTTATAGGTGCATGACAGCCAATGCGCTTAAGAAGTCAATCTCGGCATGTTCTGCTTCCAGGGTGAGCATTTTCCAAGCTCAGAGGCACGACAGTTAATCTTGCTCGTGTTTTAAAAAGGACGGACATTCCTTAAACAAGCAGACAGTACATAACGTGAATGCCGGCCAAAAAGCGGTCACTGATGCTGATGTCTAGAAATGGCGCCGTGACAGGGATGCCTAAAACCGGTCACCCGTTAGGGCTGTCTTTCTCTACCTTGGCGATGTCATCGTTCCGAGTATTTGTGCCCAACAGCCATCCTAGCATGGAACTGACGTTTGTTTCGATAAACGGCAGCCATAGCTATTCTGGGAGAAGTGCAGCTCACACCTGAGGGGTGCAGTTGACATGAAACTAGTGTACTTGGTCCCTAACTAACTCGTGACAGGTTACTCCAAAGATGATGCAAGACCTCAAATGGTTTTTATGTCAAACCATCTGAAGCCATTTTTCTTTTGGAACCAAGAGAAACGATCCGTGTGCAGCAAGCAACTGAACTCGTGACAGGACAAGCGCCTCATCTCAATCACCAAGTGTTGACTTCCTTTGTGCTCTCCTTTATCCACTTTTTCCGAGTAAGGAAAAGTGCATGGGACATGCCTACTTTTATGAGCACAGGTGCCCATATCATGGAGTTCACACCTTCGCAATATCATAAGGATTGGTACTGCAATGGCAGCAGCAGGCAAACATCCTGTGCTTTTGTTGTGCTGGGGGTCGTTATCTGCTGAAGCCGTCGTGTCGCATTGAGCCCATTTTAAGCCTGTATTTCAAGAAATCGTCTCGAGACACCACACCGAAACGTACACTATCACAGGTTAGCAGTGGTTGGAGTGAAATGAGGAAATAATCGAACTTAAGGGTTTGATCACTGGGTACAGCTAGGCCAATATACCCGCGGTACAAAAGCAAATAGTGTCGAAACAAACATGATGATATGTCTATACATTTCACAGACGAACGGATAAACGTCAGTTGTGACGCACACCAACACCGCCGTTTTTGCTTTAAAGGTCCCAGACGTTGCTTTTACCTGACGTAGGCATCGAGCGCAAATTCCAGAACACCGAGACGTTATCTGCGGTGACATGTCTATTTATTCTTGAGAGAGGCTATGTCCCAACATACTTCCGTACCATCTACGGCACAACACTAGCAATGTTCGCCGCATCAATACAGTAAATACAGCGCGCGCCGTAAACACCGCACTAATCCAGACAAATTGGTTGGCGCAGCACTCAGGGGCTCTTGAGCAGAAGCCCCTCCCCACCCGTCCGGGCCTGCCCTCCCCCTCCCCGTGGCGTGTCTGATTGACACGTGCCAGGCTCCAGACCGGTGCCTCTTCCCATCAGGGCGCTTCGCTCAGCCCGTCACCCGGCATCAGGTAAACACACCTCCGACGCCCCCCCCCCCCTCCACCTCCCCCTCCGGCGTCCGCCCCGACCGGCCCTCAGACGTCTCAGTCGATGCCACGGAGCGCGCCGCCGGCCGCGCTGCGTCGGGCACGCCGCGTCGACGATCGTGGCGCCGCCGCTAGAGTGAGGGGCAGGGGGTGGAGCAAGAGTCGAAGTCCCCCGCAATTTTGCAGGTTAAGCAGCCCACTTGTCAGGCGCGCTGCCAACGATGCACTGCTGAAGATGGAAACATATGGGACTTGCATGGACGGAAGCACCTCAGGAAACCTTGATGCTACATCGAACGGTTCAACCCCGGCGGAGCCCCTGAATTGGACTTGCAAACCACGTGCAGTGCTCCAAGTGTACCTGCCACGTCAGCGACGCGTTACCTGACAGGGCTGAGATGCGTTAGTTTCGTGTAGGGCGTTTCGCCTTCGTGCTCGTCAGGCTGCGGACGGGGGCGGAGTCACTGGCATGTACGCGGCGAATTAGTGCCAATTTTTGCACCCTCCACTGCACGGAGGAGCTGTGCACCATCATTATCCGTGCACGACAAGCGGATTGCCCACCCCGGCTGCTCCTGCAGGAATTTGACATAGTTCACGCGAGCTTTCCGTGTCGGTCCGAGAACGCATCCCGTGCACCGGGGCAGGGTTAATCCGTCCGTAATTTGATGAAGGATGCTGCGATGTACGAAGAAGGCCCGCGCGAGGTCTTTCCTGCCTCCGCCCCGATCAGGCCGAGTGGCGCCGTCATGCAACGCTCGCCACGGCACAGCGGATCGGGTTGCAGCCGCCCCCAGCGAGCGCGATAATGAGCAATCGAGACTGATCGCGACCGGCGTGACGTCACCGCCGAGCTCGCCCAATCCGATCCTGCGCGCCGACGCACGCCCCGAAGCGGCCCGGACCGGGCTGGCGACCGCCCGGAACGCGACGGCGCGCGGCCGTCCGGTCCGGCCGCCGGACAACGTCCTGCCACGACTGAGACGGCGGCGTACCGAACCGAAGTGACGGGTGTCGTAACCGAGTACCGTTTAGCCGGCGATAAGGACGGAGGGGGGGGGGGGGGAGCGGGCTAGCGGGCTGAAAAGCTGCTGGTCGCGTGTGATGTATGCGATTTTGGCGTCTTTTCTACGCTGAACGGGCTAAAGGACCTTTGTTTGGGCTGCAGATGAGTTTGCTCAGGCGCGATTTGTGAATTTTTTGCGTTATATGTTGAATTATTAGATCGATGAAGCTGCTGCACGATTTATATGAATAGGAAAGCGCCTGTCCATTTGTATGAAGATGAAACCACCTGCTGTTCTGCAGCCATGTAGAGGTCCATAGTGAGGCCTTTTCAACTTTTACACAAACACCTTGCTTTGAAGCCGTAAAATCTTCCGTTCGACTCACCTGGATACGCTGTTGCCAGCAAAACCGTTCATTTTTGCAAAGTCTAACAAAGGTCTTGTCTTAGTGGGTCTGCCTCGTCGCCATGAAGATCTTGACTCTAATACCCTCGCCCAGAAGCCCTGCGGTTTCGCGCTGTACGAACGCCACACCCTGGCACACAGAACGCCCATTAATCACGCCCCGCTAGCAAGCCAAATTATGTCAACAATTAATAACGCTTTGTCAGGAGCGGACACCCCTTTTTGTCGGGACCGGACGGGTGCACGGTGGTCTCTGGTCGGAGCGCATCGGTCATGGCACGGATGTCAGCGGGGAAGTGGTCAGCACTGTGTCAGAGCGCCCGGCGTTTTTCGCTGGAAGGACCCGATTCGACTGGAAGGCCACAGCAGCGGGAGGAATGGCATGCCAAGCACGAGCGCCCCAGTGCCATCTGGTGCCATCCGCCGATGTGAATGCCAGGGACTCGGGCAGCGCCAGTGGCTAATCCCGAACTAATCCCGCCTCGACGGGGAGACTCCGCGGTCGGCTGCATCGCGGCCGCTGCTGGGGTTTGTGATTGGGAAGAGCGGATGATCTGAACACTTTAAAAAGGTGGTCTCGACAATTAAACTTCTTGGCGCAAGCTATGATGTCAAGGCGGCAAAATAATGACGACCTCAAAGACAATTGGTGTGCTCTGCGCTGTATCGAACGCAACTTGACATCTGCGCATGTGCTGGAAGCTGGGCATACACGTCCACTTGAAGGTCACCGCGAGCAAACCATCAGATCATTTATCCACGCATGTCAACGCCCATCATTCGGATGCGGCGTCTCGGCCGTTGCGTCCAAGGATCGGGCAAGATCAATGTTATTCTTCAGAGGTTAGCACTGTCGAAGTTTCCGAGAGGTGCGAGCACGCGTCAAGTGTATCAGCTGACCGACTCCTGAACGATGTCCGACCGCGGGTAGATCTTTGACAGTTCGCCCCTGCGGCGGACGGCGGCAGACGACCACAGACGGTGGCAAACGACTGCAGCTCCTGGCAAGCTGTGACAGGTGCAGCGGGCGTCACCCGCAAGACAGCTGCATGATAAACGCGACAGCGTGCAAACGACACTCGTCAACGACGAGGTAACTGTGACAGGAGCGACAAGAGCGAATGACGGGCTGTGACAAATTTTCACATGCACGACATGTGTGACGCGACAGCGTGTGCGACAGGTACAGACGGCGAGAGGCCTGGCACATGAGCGGAGAGCGTGAGGAGTGGCATCATTGCAACGTCAGTGCTGCCTCTGCAAACCCAGTGACGTAAGGCGGTCGCGACGCCGGTCGTGGTGACATGCGACACTAAGCGGGTTACGCTCTCCTGCCACCTCGCAGTCGCTGTTGAGCCCGGGGGGGGGGGGGGGGGCGGGCAATCGCTGCGGTGTAGAGGCCACGCAACTGAGCTGGACCAACTTCGAGA